CACCATCACTGGCCAGATGATCTGTAAGACCTTTATAACTATCAATTCGAAGTTCTTTTTGATGAGTCCGGGTATAATTCAGCCGATTCTGCTCTATTTTAACGTATGCATCGACCACAAATTGCTGCATAAGTTTTCCAGCATGGTGAAGCGGATTGAAGGAATGACGTACAGCTAGCATGTTGGAGTAGTACTCGCGTTGTGATATTCTCGTGCGAATGCGAGAGCTAGGATTCTTTTTCAGATCAACGTGCCATCCTTTTCCTCCCCTAGGGAATAGCAGGGGATAAGTCAACGGATCACAGCAGGCATCGATGTCCCGAATGATCTGCAGATTACCTCCTTTATGATGAATGGCAAAGGAGCGACTTGCTGGTACATCATCGTCCTCGCCTACATAGACAACGGCAACTTCGTTGGCAACGGGAACATTGTAGCGACGATGATCTACGTTCCGGGCATCATAAAAAACCATTCGGATTGTTGGCACTTGCCTGTTCTCCCTAAGGGCTCGACGCTCTTCCTCTGCAGCTACATCACCCATCATTTTCAATGAAGCCGCATAACTATTGTTCGAATGCAACCATAATGTCAGTTGCTGCATTACGGTGGCATCACACTGTGCATTCAGCGGATTTCCGCTTCTTTCAGCCGCTGCGTCATCAGTGTCTAGTATATACACTTGTCCAAATTGTCGACGAACACCTGGCTCTGGTGTAATGGGACCTACATAATGATACACTTGTCCGTGAATCCTGTAACAGTATGGTCCAGCACCACGTGGCGTATCCACTTGAGCCCCCATCGAAGCCATAGCAAGTGCGCTATTAAATGAGCGGATGTGACTGCGAAAATTTTTGCAAAGTTGGCTAGTTCCAAGGTAAAATGACCGGAAGAGCTCGGGAAAATCAGAAAACAAATCCAGAGAAACATTTCCAAAGTTACAGCAAACATTAAAACGTCCATTGACAGATGTACCCTCGCCAGGAAAGTACAGAGCTCCACAGTGAGCGCACCTGACGTTTAAGCGTCCTAGATAGTTCTCTTCTGTGACATTCATACTTAGCGCTATACCAAGATTAGCGGGTGTTCTTCGCTGCAAATGCACATTTCCAACTGAACTCATCTGCAAGTTAATGCTCAAATGCCTCGCAAAACAGAGTGGTTATTTATTCGATATACCTGAGTAACCGCTTCTTCTCTCAACTCCTCGTTCTCGTTGTGATGCGAGAGAACTTCATGGTTATTTAGCTTAAAAAATACGGTTGCCCAAGAAGTATGGTTTCAAGATAAAATACCGTTTGATCAGATTCGAGCGGATCTTGAATCATTCTGGCTACTGAACTTGCACCTGATCGTCTCTCCACTTCAACCATTCTTCTTGTTCTCGCCCTTTTTGCATCATTCGCAAGGCGTTTTGACCTTTCCTGTTCATTTTCCAGTAATCGTTTCAATCTAGCTTTTTCCACCAATGAGGCGAGGCGATGTTTCCGCTCATCTTCAGTTTCACTGGATCTCCTAGACGCCACTCGTCTCGCATCAATCGCAAGACGTGATTGGTGTTCATGATCAGTCTCTTCAAGTCGACAACCTGATTGCTCAGTAGTGCTGAGTAAGTCTGTGGCGGTGAGTTGTCCTGATTCCCCATGGTATTCTTGTGTACCGGAAATCAGAACCTCGGATATGCGAGGTTCGTTTGAATTTCCTCTATTCTGCCCGTTTGGGTCAGACTAAATCATGATAATGATCAATAAGAAATTCCAACAAATGACAGGCTGACCATTAGTTGAGTATCAATCGAAGCAACCGCACTGGTGGCTTCGAAGTAGTGCGAGAGTGGTAATTGTTGGCTGTCCTACATGGAAAACATGCGAATTAGTGAAACCACTGAAAGTGCAATCTTACCAAAGCTTCCGATCCATAAGCACGAGATGTGCTTGGAAATTGACTATGTACATAGCCTTCTCCACGGTCGTGCTGTACCGAACTTTCTTGGGAATTCTGCTCGATCTTATCGCTCTTGGTAAATCTAGTTCGTTCTTTTAGTACAGCCGATCGTCTTGCTCTCGCCCTTTCCGCATCTTTCGCGAGACGGACTGACTTCTCCTCTTCAGATTCAACTGATCTTTTGAGCTTAGCCCTCTTAGCTAGAGCTGCAAGTCGTAACCTACGCTCGTGATCAGTCTCACTGGCTCTTTCAGATGCTGCTCGTTTGGCATGCGCCGCTAGACGTTGTCGGCGTCTGTCAGCATGAGTTTCAGAACTTCGCGGAGATGCTAAGTCCGCATCATTTTCTTGCTGAATTTCACTCGATGAGTTCGACGCAAGCTAAAGTCATAATTCTAAATGCTTCTATCAAAAAGGAATTTGTATGTTGTAAACTGTTCACCACTTCGTTTTCATCTAAGTAGGCGGCATTCAAAGGAGAGCATTGTTGACTTTCCTCAAGCTCGCCAGATAAGGCCTGGGTATGCGAGGAACTCAATGAATTGTATGTGTCAACGGTGTTTATTGCCAGATCTTGTTCAAAAGCCGGTGTTGCTCCTTCAGTATTTGAGGAATGCGTATTCATCTGTAGCACAACTTGTAGCGAAATAAGCAGTGTACGATACGCGTAGAGTTACGAAACGTCACCTAGTACTCTGCGTTGATACCACTGCTTATAAATAGGATTAAAAGCTTGAAGTATTCGGCGTTTACTTGTGAAGAAGAAGTGGTTTCAAATCGCCTCTATATGCTAAGTTCTTTAAGCATTTTCTAGACAGCATCTTTCACAATAAACCCGACTGCATAGAGTACATTGATGACCATGCCTCAGTGAATATGCAGCCGTCCAGCGAATGTTTCCGCTAAGTCAAAAGCTGGAACCTGCTGCCCCTCATTTCTCAAAAACTGCAAATACTGTTCTTTAATCTACTGATACTGGAGTACTGATGCTGGAGTCAACCAATGTGAACAATTGCACAATATGGAATCAATCAACATTTGGTTCCAAATTGGTACAATATTCGAGAAGTTTAAAAGTGCATATGCGAATATGGACGCGCATTCAAAACCTTGGATCCGTTCCAGCGAAGTCTGCCTAAAATGAAAAAACTCCACTCGCAATGCTATTGTTTATCGACATATCTCGAAATGGAACCTAGTTATTATTGAAGCACACAGATTGTTTTATATAGCTTCTTCTTCTTCTTCAAAAAAAAAAGAATCGGCAGAGTGATGTGGATGTCTCAAAACAATTATCGATGAACAGAGTAGACTTGCTTAGAATAGAAAATTGCGCTAGAATTCCGTCGTTCAGGCGACATAAGCAGTAGTAGCAGCAGCAGCAAGGTTTTTCAAACCATCATCTTCCTTTCTGGTTGAGTACACAAAAAGGGTTCGAAGAGGAAAATAGCATTTTTTAAATCCCTGCTGAAGGCAATGAAGATGTTTTAAAGTAAGTCCAGGATTGTTGCTTTTTGAAAAACAGCTCTTAGGTGATTACGAATACTCTTCCCCAGCGAAAGTGATTTCGAAAGAAACATGTCAAAATAGAACACAATCTGTCAATTTTTGTAACACGTGGCAAGGACCTAGTCCTCGTAGAATCTATGTTATTACTATAAGTTCAAAAGTCCAGCTTTACACAGAGAACAAATCTTTGTAGAAGCATACTTGCAGAAAACACCGTAGATAATTTGATTTAGAACCTAATAATCGATGCAGGTTAATTGTTTGAAACATATGACAGAATTGATTTACACATGGTAGTGCAACGGCCAAGAAGCATTTTGCAAATGGGAGTTCCAAGAAAGCATAAAATTGAAAAAAATAGAGCAAAAGGGGCCAAAAATTCAACTGAAATGAACGCAGACTTTTTTCGATTTGCTTAATTGCATGAATTCGGTTGACGAAGCAAGGATCAAAACATTGACTTTTGCACTCAAAACCTTAACATACATTTGTTGAATTTGTATGTCATTTTGAAAGCGAAATTGAAACATTAAATGGTGCGTGCGCGTTGATGCCAGAGCAAGTGAAAAACTGTAGCAAATCGGCAGAAGATTCTGACAAATTTGAAATCGTGAGTGAAAAAACTGTAGCAAATCGGCAGAAGATTCTGACAAATTTGAAATCGTGTGTGTCGATGGTTTAGAACCTTACTGGAATAATGTAGAGAGAGACTGATCAGTCAACATGTTAGACTGTACTTTTGTACCCACAACCATGTTACCGTCTTGAATTTTCTGGAAGCTCTTAAATGTTTGCGCAGTATAAGGCCTGGCGAATGCCAAGGATCACTTCTCGATCGCTCTTTGGAGTCAACATCAGTCGTTTGCGTATATATGGCCTGGCGAATGCCAAAGATTACTTCTTGATCGCTCTTTGGAGTCGGCATCAGTTGTTTACGCAGTATATGGCCGTCTGGCAAATGCCAAGGATCAATTCTTGATCGCTCTTTGGGGCGCATATACAGACATGTTTACGTGGACATACAGACGCGCTGACTCACATGGGGGTGCTTGCGCTTTATATAGAGTAGGATATATATATATATATATATATATATATATATATATATATATATATATATATATATATATATATATATATATATATATATATATATATATATATATATATATATATATATATATATATATATATATATATATATATATATATATATATATATATATGAAGGTCCTTAAGATATTGGCCAAAAAATCGAACTTTACATACTTCTCGCCCAGACCGTCTTCTCCAAGCAGGCCAACGGTCGTGCAATACGGTAGCGGGCGAATTTAGTCAAACTGAAGTGGGATGAATGTCAGCGTTCTGTTTTCACAGGCCAGCGCCTTTGAACTGACACTCTCCTCAACAAGCAATACAATAATTGGAGCTTCTTAGAGCTCATTCATCACTACTCTGCAAAAAAATTGGAATCTTTATAGAGGAACAAAGACGCTGGGAAAAAAACAAGAGCAACAAAAAATTAAAAACAAACAAAAATCTGCAGGTTGTACAAAATTAATTTTAATCTTTGTACTCTATTTCAAAAATTCTCGTAAAGACAGGAAAAAACAAAATATAGCTTATAGCATCCTAAAGCGACTCGTCGCGAATAGATGCTGGCATCACTTCATCACGAATGGCACGTCGTAGCTGATCAATCGGAAGCAAAAGAAGACGAGCCAAACGTTGTCGTGCAGTGGCTGTACCAACGCTGGTGATCAGAATCACATCATTGCGACGATTCTGGTACAGATTGCGAGTGAAGATCTGTGAGACTCCAGTCCATTCCTGCAATTTTAGGTTGGCTAAAAAATAAGTTCGGTCGTTTTCAGCGGTTTGTAGAACTGTCACAAATCAGTTTTTATGTGTATGTATGATACCGTTGGAAAGAGCAGATCAAGGAGAATCGGATGGTTAACTTTGTTTTCTCGAAAATAATTTTTCTGATGATGAAATGGTGAAGGAAACAAAATTGGTCAGATTTTTTCCTCAAAATTTCGAAAAATCACGTTCCAAAAAACAAACTGAAGTCAGGTCTAAAGTGTAGATTCGCTACCCACACAACAAATCTTTGGATTTCCAACCATTTGCATAGCCATAGATGGCCAAATTCGAGTTATCTGGAATGCCCAAAATTTGACCTTCACGCGCAAATGCCTGCAAATTTTTACAATTTTTACTGCAGGAATTCAGAAAGAGCAGGTCACAATCTCTATTGTGGTTCGCCACCTAGCCAGAGGCTGCATCTATCCAACCACCAAATTATTCGTCTGTGTACTCCCTGTAGGCTGAGAACGAAAGCTAGAAAGCCAAAAAGCGATTTTTTAGAAGTCTGAGTTATAAGTGTCATTTTTGGTAATCTTGACTATCTAATATTTAAGAGTAGAGGCTTGAGGCTATCTTCTCACGAAATATCTTAGCTGAATAGCTGTTACGTGAATAGTTATGAAGCTTTGAATTTGCATGTCAAAACGAACTTATTTATTAGCCAACCTAATAGAATACTTGAGGAGAGGGTGGGGAGGGGGTAAAAAAGATTAGTGCGCCTCACCTGTAATAAGTCTAGTATCCGATGCGCTGACAATGGGCTTTCACCGTAATTTTGCCTTAGTAAGCTGCTTGACACGATAATGGGATCCCTGAGAAAGAAACTGAACATTTAGGTTCAAAACTCGGATGCTTGAGCTTCTTATGTGGAAGTTATCTGGGGAGTCCATAAACAACTCATGCAATTAATTCCCGGCCGCATTCGTTCACACTCTCGCCTAAACCGTAACCTTCCCGTGCAGACCAATCAACGTTTCCCATTACGGTTCGGACAGGAGTATGAGGTTGAGTTTCTCCGCCACGGATCACTCATATGAGCTGCTGCTTTGGCAGTGGCTTAATTAAAGGCACCGTCTACCCACATTCTCGACTTCCATGTTTTGGTCGTTCCGGGGCTTTCTCATATCCCTGATTCCGAATATGAAGTCGATAATCCGCGAAAACCCCGACAATCCGTTCCGGAGAACCCGCAGGTTGGTCTCCTGAATGATTGGATGGTCGCCCACGGATGGGCGGGCATTACTGGAGGAGGCGGTGCCGACTTGGGGCCCCATGGCTCTTCCTGAAGCGACTTTCTGGCTTCAGGCAATTTCGCCGCGACTTGGGCAGCTTGACAGGGGGTCCTACTTTCGTAAGCTGCCAAAACAAAATCCTAACTTTGGGAGGATGGACGGTGCCTTCAAGGCTTTCTAATGAGCGCTCGTAAGAAGCCCAGGTACCCGAAATCTTCTTGACACTGAGTCTAAGGTCTGCGAATAGTTTTCGCTGCAATACCTGGACTCGCTTTCGCTCCAATCCTCGATCCTTTCGCCAACATAAATAGCATCAAAGCGACCAGACACAGCGATATAATGGTAAGTTCGGAATGCTAACTAAAATAAAATCGAATCCACAACCCGCGGCTTCATCAGCTACAACTGACCTGGTGCAAAGGTTCCCAAAACGGTTGCCTCAGTAGAATTGGATATGGTGTTGGTCGGCCATCCCGCAAACTCAAATCCAAGTAATGGTTCATCGAAAATTGCTGGCTAGCAAGATACCGTAGGAAGAAAATGAGTGCAAGACCACAGTCGCTGACACTGTGGTTGATCTTCTCAATCTTTTCGTCCCACATCAGCTGAAAATATGTGGTCTGTATTATTATTATTATTATTATTATTCATATAAGGGATACATAATCCTAACAGATTTGCATGTTGCTCCATACGTATCCATACAGCGTCGATGAAAGGTTAGAATAAAATTCACTCTGATGATTACTCTTTATTCAAACATGTAAGGCCCTGGGCAAACTTCACGCGATTTGATCGTCGCGACTGAATCGCGACGAGACAACTGTTACAATATCATTCCATGCCGATCAACTTGCATTCGGTTGTGATACCTTTCCAGCCCGAAATTTTTGAATGTGAAATGAAAATGAATGGAAATCTTGGCGATTAGATCGCGACGATTAAGTCGCGTGAAGTATGTTCGGGGCCTAAGGGACTGTGAACACGTAGTGAAGTAAAATACTCTAGGTAGGTAGAAAGCAGACAGGTAGTCTTTTGACTTATAACAACAGCATCTCTGATTGATGAGCTTCCTTGGTTGCCAATGGTCGAATGGTCAGTGGGGTGGAGCCGGTCCCACTTGTCAACCACATCATCAATTTTTGTTTTTGACGTTTCAAAGTTGCGATTTTTCACAACCGTATAGATTTTTTTCTAGAAATTACAACGTATAAAACGTCGCAAATATAATTTGTTTTATTTTTCTCTGCGCAGAAAATCGCATATGATTCTTTTGGATTTTTTGAGCACCGTTAAAGGTCGGGTAGCCCTATGTTCCGAATAACAGTCCTCACAAACCTTGTAAGGGAACAACCGTATTCTGCTTGCTTCCGAGATATCGCTGGGAAGCTTGGCGATACCCAATCCAAACTGAAGGAAAAGCAACGCCACGTGCTCCATGGTCAGGCGACAAAAGCGGAAAAGTTCCTAAAGCAATTTCACCTTTCTATGTGCCGAGAATTTGCATGGAGATCAGAAGAACTCACAGCTGTTAGCCATCTTTCCAGGACGAAAAGTATGTACATGAGCCGAGGTCCGTATGCGATGTTATATCTACAATCATTCTCGCTTGAGATACTACAGGGTGCGCCACAATTATTTGCGCGTGTATCATCAAGCACCATACGAACATAAGACCGGCTCAGCCAGCGGTCAAGCTTGATATTGTTTTCTTGGTTCTACAACATTGTATCCCAGTTAAATAAAGTAAAATTGCCTGTTTTGCTTTTCGGTAAAAGTTCATAATATTTCTCTGATTTTGTCGCGTGCTGCACGCGGTTAGAGGCCCACAAACTTGCCCAGTATGTATCTTTTTAGTGATCGCTTCTCTCAGGTGAAGATTTCGATACGAAATAGATCTAATCTTTGACTTTAAGATCACTGATGTCCGGAATCTTTAGGAGCACTCAAAACAAAAATTTTGACTATTTAATAATTTGCGTCAGCTTGCATTTTTTCTGTCACGAACATTGCTTTTTGCAATTCTTACTTCTTTAAATAAAGACCGATCTGGGATCTTGATAGTGCTTTTTGTAGAGTATGCTTACGGCATTCTGTGACATTAAATCCAGACCAAATTTCTCATTGCCATTGTTGTGGCATTACTTTGAATATTTTGGCGCAAATAATTTTGGCGCACCCTGTATACATACGTAAACTTGGAAAGGCCAAACCATACCTTTGCACAAATTCGCATTCTTCACAGATGTCAACGCAGAAAACTTCGTATTCGTCGATGTTTTTCTCAATATCACTTTGAATTTCGATCGAAAAGCGATCAGCAAGAGGGTGTGTTGAAGGGGCAGTGGCACCTTGCGCGAGCATCTACGAGAAAGAACAAAATTATAGAGCGTAAAAAAAAGCTACCTATAGAGATCACCTTGTTCCTTTTATACGAGCACAGTACATCCCAAACCACCCATGGAAAACTGAGAGAAGGAGATGATGGCCGGAAGCGTGGATCCTCATCGTAACAAACTTTATACCTAAAAAACTTGTAATTCTTGCATTAACTCAAAGAATAATTTTCAGTGGCAAGGAAAAAATAGGAAAAAATAGAGAGGCGCAGGGTTCATGTTCGAGGTTTTGAGTACAGTTACATAAGGATTTCGTGAATGTCATATGTCTTTTGAAACCTGCAATGCAATTCACATTATGATCTTTTCTTCTTGGTTGCGCCTAGTGTTTTTGTTGCTTATGAGGGGGAATAGGCGAACTGAGTTCTTTCACAAGATGTATATCTATGAAATGTTAGCTGATAATTTTGCTTACAATTGGGCACATTTAGAGAACACTCTGAATAAAGCAAATTTTTTCGAATTTTGAATGAAAAAACAAACCACTGCAGTGCTTTCATTTCCATATTCTCGTCACTTCGAAGACTTGCTTTCCCGGAAGGATCCCGCTGATACACAGCAGTTTCTCCACCAAATTCCTGAGCAGAGGAAATTATGGCCGATTGAGAGTTACTTTGTAAACTAAACATTAGCATTGAGCAGGACGAGGAATATACCAAAAACTCTTTTATTTTGTTAGTTTGTATTTACTAGATCCTCAAATTTCTTTTTGATTATATATGCACCAAACTATAACTAACAAGGTCTAAGAATTGTTCCGAATAAAAAATTTTACGATACTAATTTTTATTTGAATTCAAAAAATTATATTGCTTTTTTGAATAAAGACAAGTCACTTGTGCAATTCAGTAAATAGGTTAGAAATATAAGAAATTTCGAGACTCATTCTCGGAAGCTGAAGATTTACGTCGAATAGAAGAAAACATGGTCCTGGCGCGACGTGTCATAGTGACTCGTGCACATAACGTGGGACCTTACGAACGGTATCATATCACTTTCAGGGCTAATTTAGACATCTTTAGCTATACAGATTTTAATTTGGAAATTTATTGTCTGCCCCGCGCCGCTCCGAGCGGTCGCGTTGATTTTTGTCCGCGTCATAAGTAATCTACAGATTGTCCTGTAAAGCCAATATTCCCCCTCACTTGCCTCGAAGAAGTACGCTCGGTACTGATGGTATATTCTGGTATAGCGTAGTTCTACAATCCTGTCCGTATGGTAGAAGGAGTAATCATCACGTTCCATTGTGGCAAGCCTTTTCAAGCTTACAATGTGGCCAGAGACAATCGATGCCTCGTCTGAGACACCATATTCGTCCAGAAGTTGCTGCATGTAAAAGAATTTGAAGAATAAATCTACAACTTTCAGACTTACTTGCATTTTAGCAGCATATTCATCTCGAAGTCGACGAACTTGCATGCGCGCAGATTCGTCTCCACGGAAAGGGTCAAATCCTGGTGGACAGAGTATCTAGAACAAGAAGTCCCAATTGGAAGATTGTCGAGCGAGATAAATATGACCTGATCCACATCTTGCTCAAAAACGCTGGTCGTAAGTTCAGCCATATCCAACACTTCTTCGACTTTCTTGGCCTTCCTTAAGGATATAATTTACCATTTAGACGTATCCTGGCACGCATAGACTGGACGTATTTGCGGCCGGCTACGGCGGGTGAGAAGAAGAGACAGCAGACGGTAAGACGTTCGAAAGTGCTTGCGATCAGAGAGACGCAGGCAGTATCCGTAGCGGCGTAGCGGCGCTTTTTCTCTGCGTGCGATCAAACGCCTACTCTTTGTTATTTCATCTATCAGTCTTCTTCTTATCCCCTTTACTTATTTTTTTTGCATCTCCCCCCCCCCCCCTCTTCACCTCCAAATTTCACCTGTAGATTTGTCCGTTGAGGCGTGGACTTCGATACATTGGCTTCACTACCGAGAACATGTAATCTGGTACGATATCGCTTTGTTCATGAACTGTCAACGGCTCAGCTGGTTCGCCACTTTTTGGGAAATCCACAGCAATTGCACATTTTCGAGCTATTCCATTGCAAACTTCACTAAAAACGATTTCGTTGACAACGCTTAGGCCTGATTAGTACCAAAATAACCTACTCAAACAGTCCTTTTCGATCCGCAAGAATCAAATGTGCGTTGCTCATTCTGCCTATGGAGTCCTGTCTGAGGTATTTCAGGAAGAAGTCGACCATATCGTCAGTCTGAACATGCCTTTATAGCTCATGCTAAGTCAAGAAGCAGATTGAAGGCAGTGTCCGGGCAAGATGGGGGTTTTGGGATTTCGTGCCATGCGGGAGTGCCCCCCCCCCCCGCCTGAAGCAAGATAAACGACCGGAAAGGGGGGAAATTTGCCCTTGGGGCGGGGTCCCGAGCTGTCCGAATTCCTGCTAGGCGGCAGAGTACGCATTCCGCAACAGTCAAAATTGTAGGGTCCCGCAGCGACTCTGCGTCTCTGCCTGGCGGGAACCGTCAAATTTCAAATTATAAGGCTTTGGAAAACGCATGTTCTCGCCATTTTTGCGCCTTCTAATGTGGACTTTCGGATTCAGCGTTGCGGATAACCCTTTGTAAGTGGATTTTTTAGAAATCGAGTTTTTGGCCGGACACTGCCTCTAAAGGCAGAGTACAGGCAACTTTGCGTAAATAAATTTCTTTTGCACTCTGGTAGGAAGCTTATGGTAAGTCGTCGCCCAAGTTATATCTCGTACAATACATTCAGGACCGAGAACTCAACTTTTAAATCTCGCCCAGTACCGTACACGAAGATGTTCACACGGTACTAGCCGAATGCTCCAAGTAGAATTTCTTGGCCACAAATGAATCCTAGAAGGTGGCGCATGGAATACTTCTTAAATGAAGCCTCCGAACCAGTTTTTTTCACATAAGGAACTCAGAATACAAACTAGTGGGCCGACCAGTAGTATAAGGTACTTTGCATTCGCGCGCTTCGAGACCCACCGCTGTTTCCCCCTATTTATTCAAAGGTTTTTGAATTGAGCTAACGACTTTTCATATATTAGATTTGCCGAAACACTGGCTACTTGCCGTTGGAACTGATTCAAAGTCATCCGGGGTGCTTTTTGGGAACGTCATGGCTTCCTCGTTGTGATCAAAATGGATGTCTGGGTCGAATATCACAGAATACTCATCGCCATCCAAATCGCTACCTGAGCAACGACATTTTTTGTACACAATCAATAAAAAAGTTTCGCTTACCAGCCATCTCGTCCGGATGTGGGCGGGGTCCGTGTCGGGGAAACACAACCACATCGAAGAGATGTGCCAATGCTGGTTGATAAACGGCCGTAAACATCCTCACATCTCCGGCTACATGACATGGATTCTTCGTGATCATTACGGGTCCTGAAGTAATTTTTTTCAACACAATGATTTGCTCAAGGAAATGTACCCGTATATATTTTCAAGTTCCCATCTGCTTTTTTGAGCGACACTGAGTACTGGATGAAAACTTGACCATATTGTAAGAGGCCTGTTTCGTCAAATACACCATACATCGATCTGCCAACAGAGTGGGGTAGAAATATTTTCGCCTGAATATCGTTCACTTCCTTAAGAGTGTTAGTATCACAAAGCATTTTTATTGATTTCCACATAATTTCGATCCATAGTACAATGATTTCTCGGATGACGAAAATTACGAGAATAGAGTTTGCGAATATATGGATGTGTGGATGGATATATGTATCAATCTGTGGCGGTCTGATTTTGTTTAGGGGGGGGGGCTAAAAAAATTTTCGATTGAAGAAGCAAGATGTTAGCCTCTCTTGAAAAAATTTTCTGGGCTGCTTTCGGACTTTTTAATGGGCTTATAACTCCGAAATCTTTGAAAATGGTTATTCGTGGTAATCACGCCCCCAAAAACTTTTATAAAACCATATTTTTTCAAAAATATTTCAAATCACCTTGCTCAAGTGATTATTGATATTGTATCGATAAACCGAAACAAGAATCCGGCGAAGAAACGGTTCGTTGGTGATGCAAATGCCACATTGCCTTAGCCGTACAAAATTTATGGGAAGGTTGAGACGAAGAGTCAATTCATCGCCGGCTATCGTATCGTCCAATAACATCGCTAAACTAAAATTAATTAGTCTTCACAGCGAAGCTGACGCTTACCCCCTAGTTGTGACAGCTCTTTTTCAAGATAATAATGAACTTTGCTGCAAAGTTTTTCATGAAGCCACTTTGACTGTTTTTGTGCCACCTATTTTGCATTTCTTGATTGATGGTTGAATACAAGTTTTGTGACTACCTGATCTAAAATGGTGATAAGTGGACGGTTGAGACAGACAGCGGAAGGCATCGAGTATTTTACCACCTGCGAAATTTATGGGAAAAAGTAAAAATAGAGACTAAAATCGATATTTTGAGTGTGTTTTACCTCAAGCACATTGTTCATTTGATCATCGCAACGTTCCTTGAACTTCATTTGACTCTTCCTAGAAAAAAGTTATTTGATGTAAGAAGACCTCAGTTTTATTCATCACGTAATTTCTAAGATATGTTCTTAAGGTTATGTTCTTGTTTATACCTATGCGCGAACTGTTTGTAACTTCTGTGAGCCTGCACACTGCGCGGGGAAACCGACGACATCTTATAAGCAACCCAGTAAAGCATTTTTTAGAGGAACAAACTGTGAAGAAAGGGGTACTACCCTACTTTGTACATATCAACGATATCGAGATAAGAAAACAATAAATTATAGAAGACCAACAGATTGTAATTTTACAGGTCGTTAATTAGCGCGCGTGGTGTGCAATGCTCATCTTAAGTCACAAATAACTCGACGATTCATAAACAAATGACACTGCGAAGCGCTTCAATTGTATTTTATAGCCAGATTTTTAAAGCCACCCGCTTATCTGAATATTTGAACATTCATAATGAGAAAATCACCTGAAAACTAATTTTAAACCCTGATTTGACAAGTCTAGGCAAGGATCTATCGCTAGAACTCCTTTGAAACCTTTGAATCGTACCTGTAAATATATGAATGATACCAGATTAATACTGGACCACTAGTGAAACCTGGTAGCAACTCGGAACAATGTCAAGTTGAAGCGTAAGAGCTACTCGCCGCGCAAGTGATGGAGAAATTCTGCCGCATCCATCGGAGAAACAATAGGGTTCATGTGTTTCAGGATGACCAGCTCCTCCTTCTACGTCTTTTTCGATGCACCACTCGTTAGGCTTGATAGTAACGGTAGGCTGGAAAAGTGAGGATCCTGTGAACAAAAGCAGCAAAAAGCAGGACAAGCTTAAAAATTCGCACTTGAGCTTGTGTAAAACACTGTCCCATTCGACTCATGAGTTTCGGGACATTTTTGCTGCTACTAAAGTCACCCATCCATTCTCGCATTTCTTCCACAGTCATTGCTGAGTCTCCGTTACGACGTTGCATAGAAGCATACATATAACAGCCATGATCGCGCATCTATAAAATAAATATAATATTTTGAACTCTCCTTACAAAATTCCTGCCCAGTGACCTCTAATCTGCTATTTAAGCTTCTATACAGATGTTTAAACCGTACTTGGAGTTTATGTTTCTATTCAGAGTATGAGCCGTCCGCGTTCAGCGCGGAATGCAGCGCTGTTGCAACCATCAAAGACAATTCATGATTGTAAGAGAAATCAGAGAAAAAGAGCGGCGAGAGTGCACGGAAAAAGAGGAGTCACATGAATCCGCAATTTCATGACGAACGCGGACAACATATTTTATTAAGGGTTTGCTGTGCAGGGCTCCACACTTTGACTTTTTCGTTTAAAATTATCTTGAGGCAAACCCTGCTCCCTGAGAAAATGATTGGCTCATTTGAGTTTTGAGAGTCATTTTTACTTATTTTTTAATTTGAGCTAATTTCTTACTTTTCTAGCTAATTTTTTCAGGGATTTTCACCTGCGAATTACTCCATGCAAGAAAATGATAATGTCTGTTGTTGATCTCAACACCATGCGAAAGCGTTCGTTGAACGATGTTGGCCACGATAGACGACTGCTCTGAACGTCATACTCATCAATCTGGGCAAAGATTTCTTCGTTGAGCTTACGATCATAGCAAGGCCCCTGCACGAAATCTTTGACAATCAGTCGTGCACCAGAATCGTCTCGAAAAACGCATCGTAAAGCATTCTCTTCTCCAAAGCGACGTACAACGCGATTAGTCATCATTACTTCTGGAGCCATGAATAATGTACGAAGAGGTGTCACCATCACCTGAAACCAGCTTTCTTTGCGCTTAACATTAGAACAATTTTGCGGATATTTTAGAAATCCTGGTCAACTTTTCAAGAAATTTCGGGAGAGTAGCAACGGCAAAATCACTCCTTCCAAAAGGATTGCAAGCTCACTATAAGTTCGAAAGGCATTTTGGAAAATTCCACAAAGTTTGTCACCCTCACTTCCGAAAAAATTTCTTGGACATGCACTCGTATGAGCATATGATATCTACAGTGTCATTTCAAAGCTTTTTATGCTTTGAGCACAAACTGTTTAACCTGTGAACAAAGTGATAAATTTTGATGACAACTTTTCGGGGCTAAAAAGAAAAGCATTACATAAAGCTAGAAAATTCTCTGGCCAAAATGTGGGAATTCATTTTGTGATCGATCTATTCAAGGGTTGTCGTTTTGAGTTGGGAACTTATTGTTAGTGTTAATTATTTGTTAACAAGAAATGTACCTTACGAACTAGTACGCAGTTTCTCGGCAAAGTTCGCTTTAAGTCTCGTAAATCTCCATGCTGGTAGCGTTTCATTGCATTTACTCGAACCTGCAACCATGAGGATGATTACATGGCCTTAGTGACGATTCTAAGCAATTGTTGTTTATGAACCCTTAGATGCAAGCAAAACTATCTGGATACAATTGGCGCGAAATTACCGTGTACATCTTATGAAAGGCTCGCACTAAATCCATTACTCGTCGTTCGTCTATAGCACAAAGAAGATTCTCAAGAGCTTCCTCACATGCTCGGCTACATTCCTGAAGAACACATTTTGATACCTGCCAATCTTGTTTTAGATGGAAATATTCTGTGTAACTGTCCAGATGAAAAGCAATTCCCTTTCAACTATGGACTCAAACAGCAATAGATTTTTTTTCTGTAATGTTCGTAGAGCAGTTTTGGAAACCGTACTATGTGGAATGATCACTGGCGAAAGAGAGTGAATCATTGAGATAAGAGTGGACAACAGAGCAAGGGAGATGAAAAAAACTGAGGAAAATTGAGGACATAAACCGGGACTGGCATCATATATTGTCCAATTCTGTTTCGATTTCCTATCTTTTCTGGTGTTTGACTGATTTGGAAACAATTTTTGCCAAGGTCGGCAACTTATACATTTGAATGAAAACACTTCCAAGAAATCATGGACATTTGGTCCTCATTTTATACTAGCTTGCTTACCCGGCTCCGCTCGGTACTGTTAAAACACTGTAATAAAGTTCCCATCCCTATCCCTGTAAAGCCTTTCCCTGTGCCCACTTCCACACTTCATTTCCCGTTCTCTGTGTTGTTTTCGAAATCAGCATACCCACTTACCCCCCTGTGCCAACTCGCAGCCCTGTAGCTCAAATTGCAAAAAATCGATAAAATCGATAGAAATGATGGACGATTTCAAAAACTAATATTGTATTCGAAATCCCAATGCTCGATTACCCCCCTGTGCAAACTCCCAGCTCCGTAGGTCAAACTTTGCAAGAAAATCGATAAAATCGATAAAAGTAATCAATGATCCTGAAAACTAATATTGTATTCGCAATCCCCATGCTCGATTACCCCACTGTGCAAACTCCCAGCCCCGTAGGTAAACTCAGCAAAAAAATCGATAAAATCGATATCGATCGATGACGAAAAGTAGCTTATGACACCCGCCCGGCCCCGAAATGTATGTGTGCCAAGTTTGGTCCGGATCGGTTCAGAAATGGAATTTTCTATTCGGAACATACGTACACACATACAGACATACATACAGACAGACAGACAGACATACAAACAGACATTCAGCTTTATATATAAAAATTTTAGCACAAATTTTTGCGCGTGCAAAATTTTACCATCAAAATCTGCTGCGAAGAGCTCCCTAGAAAAGGAAACAAACCTTCATAGACCATCGCACTTTTTCAAAAAATAGGTGGTTATCCACTGATTCGGCTTTTCCCTTTTCTCTGCCTTCGTCAGCAAGAAGTTGATCAGAAACTACGGCACCACGGGAAAGTAAGGCCTAAAAGCATTCTCTACCAAAGAACGTAACAGCAGCTAGAAACAAAAGAAAGTCAGAAACCTTAGCGGCGTAGTCTGCCCGAAATGAGCCTACAGGCCTGATGCTGACTTCAGGAGCTAGACTACGCCTAGTTGTAAATACAGAACCAAAGAAGATCTTCGAATTCGAACGCTGCATTAGGCGCGAGACAATTGAGAATAGGTGATAAGTAGGCTGCTGTAAATCATTTTCTTTCCACACTTCAAGGTTACTGCATCCATTCACATCATTTCCGTCTTCGTTCTTTTTTGGCAGCGTTACGCGCAAGCAGAGACAGTCCGCTAAAGCTTCGTTTGAACATCCAGTTGAACGCTCGTCACCTGGCCATTTTAGAACGCGAACCTAAATACTGTTGAGTAATTGGACAATAAAGATTTCAACCGAAACTTTATCGCTTGTTCGCCCTCTAGGTATCAATTTTGCTGAATGTCCAGGGCTGAGAGATAACAAGACATCTTCAAGCACTTATGGTGTCTTTTGAGGGCCATGACCGAAAAAGAAGCTCGCATAAAAGAGTTACCAAAGTCCATCCTAAACCAGCCCACCCTAAGTTTCATCTCCCCATGGATTTTCTACTATGCCCAATCACATTGCACAAGCTGAAACTGATTGCCAATCTAAGATATCCCCCCCCCCCCTCCCCCACTTTCTCCTAGACAACACTCACCCATTCCTTACATTGCTCCATATTGACAACTCGTCTGTTTCGACTGCGACACTGTTGTGTACGGGGTACTGCTTGCCAAACCTCAAGATTAAAATTTGCAAAACATTTTATCTAACAGTTGTGCTTTTTCCAAATCAATTTTTATTTTTCATCAGCCACTACCCCATCGGCAGTGATTTTCAAAATTTACCTGCGGGGGATACTTGAGTTTCAAATACAGAGTATTATTGTGGGAATCCCCAACGTCGACAATAATCTGAGATTTAACCATATTAGTGGCAAAACTCAAGAGTCAATATAGTACAGACCTGCACAATGGCGGCATATGGCAAGCTTATTTTGTAAGCAGCAAATCTTAGCCCGTCCATTTTCTCTTCTGCAAGCACTCGATCATTCTTGTTTGGTAACTAGAATTACAGACCTCGTTCGCACAGTCGAACTGCGAAGAAGAGAGTCAAATACCTTCGGTCATGCTCGAAATGGGCAAATGACAAGAAGGATTGTCCACCTATATAAAGCAAGAATTGGTTTTTGGACACACTCCAAATTTTACCCCCTCCTTCTTCCTTTCCCCTTACAAAGTGGGGTTTTACGCACCAGCTACTTTCAACTGCGAGGTGAGATCAGCTTGTTTTGTAAGCGTGGTTTCTCCATAACGATTGAAGCAACTTGTAAAAAAGCTGGAAGTGGTTTACAAATCTACATGTTTCCTTAAAAAATTCCTAACCTATTAGAGATTTCATTGTAGTTCGTGACGTAATCACCGCGTACAAAGAAAAGTCCTTGATTTGGCATACTGCCAATGGCCATGCTTGTCAGTGTCACATTGTTGTGTTGTGGCCTACAAGAGCTTTCGTTTGATTTTATCAAATTTTGTCACAAATAGCCATAAAACCCATACTACCTAACTTCACCAAATATAAGCTTGATGCCAGGAAATTCAGCCAAAATTTGATCATGAAATCCTCCGGCAACAAAGTAGCAGAATTTTTCAGTAAAACGCACAATCATTTCGTCACTGCAATTTTTGAATACTATCGCAACAAAGGTTCGGCAAGATTACAGACTGTTCTTCTTCCCCTTCCGGGGACAACGTAATATTGTAGCTGTACTCGCTTGCTTGCTCTTCGTAATCGGCTCGCGGTGTGGCATCTACCCTTCTTAGTTCAAATTGGTGGCATCCGCTCTGAACAGGTAATTTTTAGAGGTAGTATCTAATTGTAAGATTTGAATAGCTGGTCTTCTTTTGTGAATACTGTTCGACGCGCTAAAGCATAAACGGCAGCTCATCTGATTCATTCATTGCTGAGAAAATTTACTTTGAACTCCAGCCGAGACCGTACTTAGCTCCTTGGATATGGTAGGTAATGCGGTCTGACCAAAGTTTAGCTTTGCATTTTTTGGTCACGATAGAATCGCATGAGCTATCACTTGGAAAATGCTAGAGGCCTCCTAATCAGATTCCACAAAAGACTTTCAGGTACACGAATTTTCTCAAAAGCTGCGGTCAAGCAACCTGAATCAAGACTCGAGCAAGCATTCCTCCAACTACAGTGGTGGGCCCAACCGCTTTCGGCACAGTAAATTTCATAGTCAAGTCGAGATCGCCTTTTCTGAAATGCGAAGGTGATGTTTGGATGAATTGTCTGCAGCTTGAGAAATTCTCGACTGATTCTAGGTTTTGAAGCTTTCGAGGCATTGATCTGCGGTTTTTGTGATTAGTAACTGTGAGAACTACGCTCCATTAGTACTCACATTGAATATCGTGAATTAGATGTTACAAAGGCATGTCTTACAAAACTTTCTTCAAAAAGTCAAATGTAATTTATTACCGACGATATTCGGAGGTCTTTGCTCGAGCTTCATTACAGGCGTACGATGGTGTCGAGGCAGAAATTGTAGATTCGACTGTCGTAAGTGAATTGTCTGCTCCTGCAAGCTACTTGGTCAATTTCCTGTGACACTTTACATTTTTCTATGGTTTTAGAAGATCATGAAGCTTTTGTTGAGAATGAGTCCGAAAGTGTTTGATTGAGTCCCAAGATTACAGTAGTTTATAATTCCATCAAGTTTACAGCAATTTATTACCTTCAAATCAAAGAGTTCCATTCATCAGATTGTGCAGAATATTTTATGATCTGCTCAAAAATTCAGGATAGCTCAGCTAACATTTTCGACCAACAAACTCATCTCATAACTCCCTTTCCTCCTCTCCTCCCTCTCCCCCCCCCCCCCAGCTTCCCGCGAGGAAGTTTGAGACAACTGCTGCATTAGTAGAAACTTGCTAAGAATCAGGCGCAATATTTGAAGCAGAGAAAATTCTAGCCGTAAATATTAAAAGACTACCGGATGCAAGACCAGAAACTGAACTAAAATTTGAATGCTGTTGATCTCTTCAAACAATTTTCCAAAAATGTCAAATACTATCACGTAAAATTAGGAAAGAGTTGAATAACTGAAGGAGCTGTTGAGGAAAATTCAAAGAAGGAAAGATTTTGTTCCATCAAATCAATGACATGATGTGAAATTTACCTTCGGACGAATGTCTCGACGTAACATCCGTATACGAGTCTGATCCGTCGGAAGCTAGATCTGGCAATGAGGAAGGGGCCGATGGTTTGTTTTGTGGAGCTCAAAAGTACTTGACTTCACTTATGCTGTGTATCACACTTTTTATCAAACAAACCCTTCGGAAGATCTTCAAAAAATTTCAGTTCATTCGCAAAGTGTTTTGCAGAACATCCAGAACTCGTATCTCCGTAAGGTAGCGAGTGATACGAGGAGGTATCGCTAGTCGGCGATTTCTGCTACATGTTATTTTTTAAGATCGCTCGAGCAATGCCTAGGCCCACCTTCAACTTCTCAAAACGTGCTGGTGCTTCTGGGACGTCTTCATAGACAGAACTGCCACCAGATGAGGAACCCTTGGCTTGGTTGGCTGAGCACTCCTTAGCCTCGTAAGTTTCATGACGATGAAGAGCATCTTGTGCTCTTTGCAGTTTCACAGCTATGTACTGTGAATGGAAGGATGTTTACACATCATTCGCTGGATTTTTTTCCAATGAAAGAAGCCTAGCCGAGAATTACGTAAATAACAAGTTTTTTCATAGAGGTTCTAAATATATCGAAAGCAATTGCCAGAAACCACTGCAGTTTCACGAAAAATTTTAGGGAAAAAAAGACTCAATTCTTTTCGATATTTTTAAAAAAATGTCACTTGTATGATGCTTAATTACTTGAGAATGCTATATTGAGCTAGTTTATAAAGTTATCATTTACCTGGCCATCCAGAATTAGGCCTGCTGCTCGATCTATGTTTCCTTCCGATTCGATGTAAGCCCAACAGAGTTCTTCGTCGGAAACTTTCGGGAAAAGGCACTGCAAATTTTAGGCCAAGCTCCAGTATACTTGTACCAATTCCTGCTGATTCAGAGGTTACCTTCAAGTACTTCACAGTAGCTTCATAATCCATGTTTGTCGCCCGCTTGGAGTTCAAGGCGAAACAATATTCGAATGTTTTTCCTAGCTTCTACCTGGAGAATTTCAGAAGAATGGAAAAGTTCCAAGTGCAAAACTTACTCAGTGTGGAGCCTATTTATCTGACTTGGCACGGTAAGTCCCGAGGAGCTTCGAAATGGAATTGATGTTCAATGAAGTTTCTTGCATAACCCAATACGTGGCATTCTGTTATCATCGCTTGAATGCGCACCCAATTATACTGAACTAGTCAAGCCAAGTTAATTAACTTGAATAATTTAAATTATTCATCGCCAGCTTTTCTAAGTTTATTCATCGTCGAGAAAGAATAAGTCAATTCCTTGTAATCGTAGGTTAAGCAGTGTCCAAGCAAAATGGAACTCCCTCCGATTAGCGCCGATGGATGTAGGCCAGGAGAGGGGCATCTGCGTTGGTCTGCTCCTTCGATGTTGTCTCTAAATGGAGATAATGGGCCTGAGAAAAAGTGCTATCGAACTACGCCCAGACCCTATCAAGCTTCGCCCAACCAGAGACTGTCTCCGATACCTATTGACATGGCAGGGAGCAGGCGCTGCACACTGCTCAAATGCAATTGCGGATCCTCCCCGCTGGCATGCTGATGGGGACGAGCAATCCTCGTCCGTGACCTGAAGGCTGGGTACTCAGGAATCGGGATTTTTGGGGGTTTTGGACAATATGAACTTCATAATTGTAATCAGAGCCACGCAAAAGTCTCAGAATGACAGAAACATGGAAGGCGAAATTTTGGATGGACGCTGCCTTCAAGAAAGTGGACCAAAGCATCGATATTCGTTCAGAATAAAGATTGCGCGGCTCATTAATCTTAAGTCAGAAAAAAAGTTTCAACGTTATAATATTCTACACTTGTTTTCGTCCCCAGCTTTTTAGTAGAGAAAGCAATGTGATTATCTAGGTCGTTCCGAAAGTGATATCCTTTTTTTTAATGAACGCCACTTTTTGTGGAACAAAGATGTCCAAGAGTTGGAAGTATTCGATGGCATCTCAAGCTTTTTTTAGAAAAAGAATTTGCTGCAGTACACTATGTATATATAATCAAAAAGCTCTCGGAAAGCTACCAAAATGTGGGACCAATGGTTTTTGCCGCGGTCAAGTTCGATTATTCTGAATTTTGTACTGCATCCCCGAACAAGTCCATGTAAGTGGATAAAGCAAACCTTACAGGATACAAAGCAGTTTTTTCCCTTTTAGCTTCTCAAATTTCCCAAAATTCCGTCTTTCATTATCAAGTTTCATATTTGGTCAAGCCTCATATAGCATCAATCGGCGAGCAATGTGAGTCATTCGATGCAGCTTTTTCTCCTCTTCCTAACGGATGTTTTTATTGTCGATTGTAAAGTATTTACGGATAATATCATCAAAATTCATGTTTTTGAACGTGCTCCAGGCTGTGGCTGGAAAATTGGAGATTTGATCCGAGTTCGAGTAACGTCCATCTGCTTGGTATAATTGGTGTTGAAGCATGATCCACTTTTGGAAGTTTCAAGATGGTTTACTGATGTTTGAAGTGTTTGTGTCCGAAATAGACTTGCTAGAATTCGCTGGTTTTGTAAACAATTTTATCAAAAAATTTAACGAACTATAGCAAGGAAAAAAATTGTTTTATATCCTGGGTTAGCCCTATCTATCCCCTAATTGGACTCATCGCGGCTTTAGTGTGAAAATTTAGAAATATCACGAAATTTGACCATCTTCAAAAGCATGGTTCGCGAATTTGGTGATTTTCCAACAACTCATTAGATGTAGTGCAATGGGTTTATGACCATAAGAAAGAGGATAAAATGCGCCATCGAATGCTGCTAACGTCTCTTGGAAATCCTTGTTCCACGAGAAGTGACGTTTGTTTAATTAGAGCGACATCACTTTTGGATCAATCTTTATGTTCTGAAATGAGATTGACTGCTTAATATACAGATGTATGTTTAACATAGATTTTTGATACTTTTCCGTTATCCAGACCCATTTTTTTCAAAAAAATAAAATTGCAGCTTTCCTTGTACCAAATTTGGCAAAAACTTCACAAAATGGAGAGTCAACCTCCTGCCACGTGTCAAAGAAAATTGACGTGCCATTTACATGTTCAACAGGTTCAACCAAGATGTACGGTCGGTGAGTCAGTCTGTGTGTGCGGTGTGGACTGTGATCGATGCTGCCAGCGGGACTTAGGCACAGCGAGTACACCTCAAACTTGGGTAATTAAACTTTTATTACTAAAAGCAACTAATGACTACAATGCGACTACGATAATAACAGACAAACAATACAATGTGCATATATGTCAATCGGATGTGCTGTGAGGGTCCTGTGCGGGGGCTGTGACTTGCGCTGTGAGGGTCCTGTGAGGGGATGTTGACAAATATGCTAAAAACAGATGAAGCATCGAAAGTACCAAATAACTATAGGAAGAAAGCAAAGAAATGAAATGGTACAACGCGACTAGCCACTACTTATATATATATGTATATATATATACCGTGAACATAAACAAACTAAGAACAAACATGATAAATGGGTTGATAAGCTACCAAAGAACATTATGCTGTGGGAGATCTTCGGGCCTATTCCCACCTTGCGCGCCGTGTATTCCTCAGGGTCCAAAGAATGATACGAACCGCAAGTTTGTATACTCCGGCCCTAACGTCGAGAATGAGAGGGGCCCGATTCGTCCGTGCTGTGACTTGTGTCGTTGTCAGGTCCGTGGCTGTGTTCCGAGTGCCGTAGTTGGCGCTGGCAATCCTCTATCCTGTTCTCGAGTTCCCTCCTTCTCTGCCTTAGGCGATTGACTTCGTCCGGCAATGAACATATGCCTGCATGATGGTCATGAGCCGTTCCTCGTCCGCTGTTCTTGCAGTAGGAGCACAGGGCTGGCTTTTCGCAGACACCCGAGTGGCGTTCCAGGCAACGGTAACTATTCGATCTGCGATTGAAGTCACCCTGGGACATGATTCCGAGAAGTGTTGTCCATGTTCCTTGCAGAAGACGCACATGAGCAAACCGAGCCTGTGTCCTCCTTCGCCAAATCGTCTCTCCGGACAGGATAGTTTCTGTAATTCGGATCTCTTTCAGCTCCTCCTGACAATCGGCAATACGTTCCTCGTGGTGGTGTCGTTTCTAGGTGATAGATGTCTTTTGCTCCGGGCGTTTGCGTTTTCTTTCTCCGGAATGACTGCTGTGATCACTGTGACTGTGACGGTGATGGTATTCCGTTTCCCTGTGTGTCCTCCTGTGTCTTTCCGGTGATTCGCCCTTCGTATTGCTTCTGGTGTCCATTTTTGTGATACAATTCTTTACTTTGTCCAGCAGTTTTTAACTTTCATTGCGGCTCCGTTCACAGTCTTCCTTGATCTGTGTCGCCAATCCTAACAGTTGCTGTTCCATGTACGAAGTCTCCTGTTGGATGTAGTCCTGTTGACGTTGGATCTCCTCTTTCACTCTGTGCATGTTCTTCTCTCTATCTTCCGCCATTTGCTTGTCGAAGTGCTTGTACACTCCTTGGATCCAACTCCTTGTCTTTTCGTGTAGTTGGCGAACTTCATATCTCAACTGTAACAGTACTTCTTTGATTTCTTTGAACGAGCCGTCCCGCGAATTGCCATTTCCCTTCCGATCCGAATCGTGTGTTTGGCGCCTCACTTCATCTCGAAGTTCTGTGATCATATCTTTGAGCTGCTGGATATCCCAGTGTGATGTTTTGCTTTGAGGCCATTCTCTACCTTCTCGCTGTCTTTGCAATTCCGTTTCAAGTGCTGTGACTGCGTTATACATTTCGTTGAGCATCCTTCGTTCGCTCTCGTTGCCTCTTCTTGTCTCCTGTTCCACCTCGTAGACCTCTTTCGCTTCGTCGTCAAGGAGCGCATCATATCCTGTGCGAATTCGTTGTAGTATGGGGCCGATTGAATCCTTTTTGTATTATACTTTCGGAATACTTGCTGTGGTTCCGGGTAGCCATAATCCGTGGGCCTGTAGGTACCAGAATCACAGTTCCTTCCAGTTCGTTCAGGTACATTACTCGATCAATCTCTTCTGCTTCACCGGCCGCCACCAGGATTTCATACCATTCGTGGGCAAGAAGTAGTTGATCTGCCCAAGAAATCAGCTCTCCTTTTTCTTCTGTGTGTTGTGCTCGTAGCTCCTTGAATTAGAGTATGTATAGCAACGACTCCGCGACTGTTACGAAGTTTCCCATCGCGTTTGCTTCAGGGAGATGAGGTCTAGTTTCGCTTGTTGGAGCTTATCTTCGAACTCGTTGCATTTGTCGCCACCTAATTTTATTTTTTGGCGGATCTGTGATTCCGTATACTTTGATGGCGACTCCTCGATGATGAACGTCTTCCGTGCCAGTTCCTCTTTTACTCTTCTTTCGAGTTCCGCGATTTGGCTTGGGCTCAATTTTTCCATTTCCCTGTGAATAAATGAGGATTAGAGGAATGGTTCAAGGGGTTATAGCTGGAAATCTCCCTCGGTTCTACGTTCTCCACTATCGAGAAGGGCTACATGCTTGCCGAATCTGAAATCTGTGCAGATTTGTTAGTTCAGCGTGATAACGAAGCGTTATTGCTCCAATTTTGCACTGTTGTGCCCTCCGGCCTCGCCATCAAAGCAGGTTCCTGTGATCTTATTCTCTTTGGTGTTTTTCTCAATCCGTGATTGAGTTGTTAAATGGTATCACCACGTTTAATCCATAAGCGCGCTGCAAGGTGCGCGACGGAGTAATCGGCGATGTTTATGTTTTGATATCGCCGTCAAGCTGGCTTCGTTTTTCGTCATATTTCTATGTTTATTCTTGTATACTCTATATTTCTGCTGATTATCCACTGCATTTTTTTCTTTTCGTTTTTCTTTTTATTGTTGTTGTTTAAAATTAGTTTTAGGTGGCCCTGACCCTCTCGGCGTTTTCCCTGCCTTTCCCCCCTCACCCTTATTTTGTTGTTTATTAATTTTAATCTTTTTTTGGGT